TGTACACTTTTTTCGACCACATCTTTTCCTTCCCTTCGCCTCTCTATTAATGTGCTTGGACACTGAGCTCTGTGAACAGCCAGCCTCTTTAGCGATGACCTTTTGTGTCTTGCCCTCCTTGTGCAAGGTGTCGATGGTCGTCTTTTGGACAACTGTCAAGTCAGCAGTCTTCCCCATGATTGTGTAGCCTATAGAACTAGACTGAAAGACCATTTAAAGGCTTTTGCAGGTGGTTTGAGTTAATTAGCTGATTAGAGTGTGGCACCAGGGGCCATCAATTTTGAACCTTTTCACAATATTCTAATTTTCTGATATGATGAATTTGAGATTTTCATTTGTTGTCATTTGTAATCATCAAAATTAAACAAAATAGACATCTGAAATATATGAGTTTGTATGTAATGTATGAATATAATATACAAGTTTCACTTTTTAAATGGAATTACTGAAATCAATCTACTTTTTCATGATATTCTAATTTTATGACCAGCACCTGTAAACTAAACCACTTTAGTAGCATTAAAAATAATCAGTTGAGCTGAGCAGGAAGTCTAGAAACGTCCTTGGGTTTTTTTACATTTGTCAATATGAAAATGTGCTGTTTAGCAGTTAACATCTTTTGAATCCCAGTCCTATATCCGCCACTTGTACTTCTCTTTGTCTGCTTCACTCTGCAAGTGAAGACAAAGAAAAGTACGAGTAATATTGAAAGTCAGATCAGCAGAGCTGTTTGGTAAATCGGTTGGTCAGATTTTTCTAACCCAGACAGAAAGTAATTGGCTGAGCATGGTGTTTTATAGCTACAAACTAACTGGCAGAGGCATCTTTCGGATGTATATTGTTCCCCAATGAGTGATCATAAACCGTGCAATCCTCGGCATGTTTGTTTACATCATAGGAAATAATACTCTGACTCAGACAAGGGGTCTCAGTGGCTTTGATAAGGATCACATCTATTTATTACACCCACCAGAGCCTTTTCAGTGAATAGCTTGATAATGGGTTGTCTCGCCAGAAAACATTTAGTAGACACAGGAGTTGTTTTCTGAGTCTTGGTGTTTGCAGTATGTAAGGTTTTGTTGGATGCTATATAGATGAACAGGAAGTAAAAAAAAAAAAAGAAAATCTGCAGATAAATATGGACAGAAAGCATTTATTATACTTTCTAATAACCATTCATTGCAAGTGACATTTTGTTTCCTATCCTTGTCACAAGTCTGGAGTCTCCCTACTTGACCTTTGCAGAGCTGACATCCCTCTCAAGGGTAAAAAATCAACAGAGGACCAATGACAGGCCAGTTAGTCAAACTCTATCAGCTGGTCGGAGCTTTATCTCTCACACTATGACTCACCCTGGGGAGGAAAAAGTGCTGCACTAAGGCCAGTTCAAAACTGTGGGACACACACATATACTCACACAGACCAAAAGACACTAAAAGACCTTGACCTGCTCATTCCTTTCCAACGCATCAATGCTAAAGCTCTGGCTGTTACTAAATGCAGCCTTTAAAAAGAAAGATAATTTAACCAACACTTTGTTCAAGCCCCAGTCTCATGGTTAATCCTTCACAAATCCGAAACCTCTGTGGGACTCTTGATTAGCCAAAGTGGCAAAAAAAAATAAAAATACCCAAAGGAAAGAAGCTTATGCAACATTCAACAATACCAAAGTCATTGCAAAGGAAACTCTGAATATTAGAAGCAATGACAAAAGTTAGACACAGGAAGAGAGTGTATCTAGGTTATTCCCACTCAATGTATTACTTCAATAAAAAATGGAGCTGTAAGAGAATCAACAAAGCTGTTATATTAAAGGACAAAGATGCAAAAAAAAGCCTTCATGTGGACGCTCTGTATATACTGTAGATTTCCCATGAATCTTTTTCTTCTTTTGGCACATTCTTCTTCTTTTACTATTTAAGCTGATGTAACAAATAAATGTCTCCACTGTGAGATCAATAAATTCAATAAATCAATCACAGTGCATGAGTAAAACAGCATGAGTAAAAGTTTATTTGCAAACCACACTATTATTTGAAATATTTGTTTCCTAACCTCAGGCTCATTCCTCAGACAAGGTTAGCCAGCAGAACCAATATTTGTAGAAAGTAGTGTTTAGAGTATAGACAACTTAACTGTCAATAGACTAAAATAAATGTTGTTAATATCTTTCTGAAAATTTTAATGCCACTTTTTCATTTGCTCTTTTAGTTGCTGCAAATGCTTTTGCATTTTTAATATCTTTCCTTTATCTGTTAAATTGTTTTCACTGATCTGTGGAACGAAAAATATATCGACATAGATTTTTAAAATTTGCTTTGCAATTAAGTGACAATTAATTGATGAACTTGACAAATTTTTAGCGATTATACAAACTTATCCAAAGCTGGAAAGAAAAAAAATGAATTCTACAAAAAGAAAAATACAAAACCTTACACTAGTAAGTTTCTATCACACAGGGAAAAAAAGTTGTGCAGAATTTATTGTAAACCTAAACATTTGCAAACATTTGTTAAAATTCTGACAAGAAACTCAGACTAAAAAAATAAACCTAATTCTTTTTGCTGTGTCCATTAATCATAGCAATACAAGAAAAAGTCATTTTCTTATAGCAGTACACCATTCATGCCCTGCAAAGTATAAAGAGGCCATCTCTAAGAGGGTCATTGCAATTTTTGCATTTCATATAATCGCAATTATCTTATACGTTTTTTCTCGCAAATATTTTGTATGTGTGTAATATAAATATAGTTATGAAAACACATATTGATTAATTCATTGCCGACAAAAAGACATAGAACCTACAGCAACCCACGCATAAGCAAACACCACGATTATATAAAACATTTGTTTGTATGTTGACTGAGACCTTGCTTTAGACTTTATGTAAAACACATAGATCTACTCTAGTTTTTAATCACACGTATAAAGCAGAGTTGGTCTTTTTATCTGGTATCTTTTAACAGAGCCAGAGCAAAAAAAGTAAAGGAAAGCACATCTGCTTCACCAGGGACCTGAGGAGGTTCAGATCAAAAGCCTCCCTGTATATACAGCAGTTACTCAGCAAGGCCCTCATCAGCTGGTAAGGCATATGATTCAGACACTTAAGAGGAGAGGTCAGTATCAGTCTGTGAATGCAAGAGACTCTCTCAGTCTGGCTCTCGCAAGACTGCGGCAGCCAACCTAGCTGGGCACACTTCATGCATTCAATAAGCCTGTTTCTCATATATGGTAAGGCGCTGTGGCTTACATGCCACCTGGCCTGTTTGATCAATCCTCACTTAATGTAGAGGAATCTAAATAATCCAGGGGAACATCTGAGGTCAAAGTAGATTATTAATTAGTGTGCAAATCTTTCTTTTTACAACAGAGAATTACTGTCAAAGTAAAAGTCTCCCTGTATCTCCACTCTTTTGCAGTTATTGATCTGGAACACCTACACTCCCATCACTCACCCTAACTGCAACCACTCACACTTTTGCAAAGTGCAGTGGTGCTGAAAATGAATCAAGGTATCAGAATTTTACCTGTGCTTTCAGAGCCTGGATCACTTCTTTGAAACGTGCTTTTCATGCAAGATGTGTTTTAGCTGACTAAAGATGCTTTAATCCAAACAACAGATGATGCAGAGTAAATGAAGAATCCATTTTCTTAACATAGCCGTCTGTATCATTTTGCAAACTAAGAATTCCCACTATTGTTGGGATTTAGAAACAACAAATATCACTTCTGTAGTTTTAAGAAATATGAAAACCCTGAAACGCATTTTTTGTTTTTACGATAATACCTCTTAGGGATAAAGGTACAAATGTGATTGTCTAATGTCTTGCTGATAGGTAAAACTTCGTCAGAGTCTCACATCTGTTGCAAACTTGACAGGTTATCCTGTCCTGCATTTAATTCCTTTCATCTTCCTATAAAGTAAGGCCATCTTCAGTGGCAAGAAAATTAAGTCACCACCATGATTGCACAATAGGTTTGGGTAGTAAATCAAATAATGAAAATCACATAAAGGTTAGCTACCTGCTCCATTTTGTGTTTATTTCCCCTCAGAATCCAAACCAGTGTAAATCAGAAACAGCAGGTCAAACAAAACTGAAAACTGCTGAAAACTGGCTTTGTGTTTCCAATTGATCATAAGCGGAAAGTCTATACTTCAGTTCTTATGTTTTGTGAGTGCAAGAGCCATATTATTACAATTTAAAAATGACCAATGATTCAGTTATAGTTGCTTTGCTGCTGGATTGAAAACTTGATCATTGGGCAATTATGACTCGTAAGGATGGTGCCCGGACACATTCAATAACCCAATGTCCTAAAAACTGAGAAGACAGTCATTCAGTTTAGAGGAATTCAGGCTCTGTTCTCTAGTGTAGACTGGATCTTGGGATCATGGTGACCCAAAAAGGTTCCCCCCGCATAACCTTAGTTCTACATTTACTTTTTGAGTGTATTTTAGCTTTTACAGTTATTATTAAAGTAGCTAGAACACAGAAGTATCCATAAATCTCTGACAAGAGAGTCTGCGGAGCTTAATCAATACTTTCCAGCCTGGATCAACACCTTTTCATGGAGTTCCTTTTTCTTACACTCTGGAGGAACTGTGTCCTAAATGCTTCTTCATTCCTAATGATGGGCAACAATGATACCACACATTTTCCAGATTTTTCCGCTGTGTTTTCATGATTACACTTAGATATATATATATATATATATATATATATATATATATATATATATATATATATATATATATATATATATATATATATATATATATATCATCAGTAGCAGTTAGTGTCCCCTTGACTGGGCAAATATATTGTTGGCATAAATATTATGTATGTTCTTCTCTTTTAGTCTTTATTATTATTATTCTATTTAATAATAATTATAAAATAAAGTGTTTTCTGACATTGAAATACCCAGTAATGGATGGAAAAGTGCGCATGATGCAATGTGCGTGTATTTTGGTCAGGTTGGGAACCATGGCCAGTTACCTTATTAGAATATGGTGGCCTTGCAAGGTTGATGCCATCTCTGATGAGTTTATCCCTGATCATGATCTTCAGCTTCAGCTTGGGGTACATCACCAGCTCCCTCCTGTTGCCCAGGGTCAGGTTTCTTTGCGCGCCCATGTAGCCACCGTTACGCCCGATTCGGTCACTGTTAGGCTCTGTCCAGGATCTAGATCCCCGCAGCTTGGACTCATGCTCCAGTCCGTGACCTGTGTATAATTCTGCCGCGGGTGGCATCGGCTCAAGAGTGAAATACAGTCCGCTGGCCGTCTCTCTGGCTTCCTCTCTCAGCCTTCTCACCGCGTCATGGATCCTCTGTCTGTGGTGAGGGATGTAGACTCCGATGGCATCAAGGTCGGGGTCTCCTATTTGTTTGCAAACTTCTAGATCGTCGTATCCGTTATCCACGAAGGACTCGACATACTGGGAGAGCTGAAGGGTCTTCAGCCACTCGAAGACAATGACAGGTCCGCTGCTTGTCATTTTGGCTGTTCAAGAAACGCAGGTGGCTCTTACTTTCCCGTTCTGCGTTTCAAACGCATTCTCAGTCAGGCACATACAGTGGTTTTAACTCTAAAACTCATGGGCGTAAAGAATTGGATTAAACACTTTGAGCATAATCCATGGCAAAGGGTTGAGTAACCATATGCAGCCACATTTAATCATGAAAAATAGCACCTCTTCTCAATATTTAGAAATACATTCATGCGGGACAGTTTTTCTTTTGTGTTTTTGAAGATTGGTCCTCCTGCTCCAGCTGGGTTTGTTGTGCGCAACAAGGCTCCCTCAAACAGTCAGATGTCTCCAATCGTTTCATTCAAACAGCTTCAAATTCAGATTATATCCATTACGCATTGGACGGCTTCAACAGCTCCTGTTTTCCTCGAGTCCTTTCTCTGTGCGACCATCAGGAACGAAGGGAGAAATACATCCAATAAAACGCCACAGCGTTTTTTTATTTTACACAAATATATATATTTAAAAAAATCAAAGCTGCAGCAGATCTTGTAACGCGCTCAGTCCAGTTCCTCCTGCAGCCGGTGGCACATCACTGTGGAAGCTGCGTCCAAGAACCAACACGCTCCCCGCTGCTGCCGCTCCAATAACGTCCACGCCCCCTTTTCCAAATCTTACATTTAAAAATAGTGATCCAAATCCCTTTTTCCTCCTCTCCCCTTCTCCAAACTTGTCGCGCTGCCTCGTGGCTCCCTCTGGGTCACCAGTTTCACACTGAAGTTAGTCCGAAACAATGACTTAAGAGAAACGACGCGCACAGACAATTCCCCCTGCTGCTTGCTTTGATATTATTTCTTCACAAACATGCCATTTCCTTCACTGAGTACACCTTTTGATTGCGCACACACACACTTAGTCATGCAGATTATACTTAACATACTTTGGTTTCTTCACACGCATGAGCTCCCTCTATGTGGTGACGTTGGAACAGCTTCTAAAGCAGTAAATGAAAAGTTAACCATCATCCCTTAACTTTTGTTTTCTATTTTGTAAAACACATTGAGGATGGGTTTAAATTATTTGGATATTATGAGTAAAACAACAGAGCAATGCATAATAGAGCAGATTCCAGAACAGTTTCTTCCCCACTGCCATTAGACTGCTGGATGTTGTATAAAATTGGGGTTGGAAAAAAAAAAGAACCCTAAATGTTGGAAACTCATATACAGTCATATGTTTACATTTATTGCTGCTGTTTACCTTTTATCACTGCTGCACTTTAAAAAATGAAAAAAACTTGAGAGCTGTACTGAAAGAATTTTTTTTTTTGTATACACTCTGTGTACAAAATGGCAATAAAGTCTGTCTAAGTCCTCTAAGTCTCATTGTAGTTTGGAAGGGACAAAAATAAATGCTTTTAAAAGTTGGCGCTTGTAGTGGTGATTAGGGCTGGGTAAAAAAATCGATTTAATCAATTTTGGATCGATTCCTTTAGATTTTTGCAAAATCGATGTGTAGGTAATGAGATCGATTAGTTTTATAGTGACATGCATGACGTTCACATTCAAATGAGCAGGTGTGTGCAAATGCCGACCTACCTGAAGTCTGATATCTGGAACCATTTTGGATTTAATACAGCTAAAGATAATGTGCTGGAAATGTGACATTAAGGTGAATTCCAACTACATTGATAATGAGTGGCGCCTCGCATCTCGTGCCACAGTCCACAAAAATGACTTCAAGCCAGACAGCTGCAAATATCGCCAATAGTTTGACTGAAGACATTAACGAATGGAGGCTGACCAGCAAACACCCTGTAGTTGTTACAGACAACGCTGCAAATATGGTTTGTGCAGTGAAGATAGTGCAGCTCATGCATGTCTGCTGTGTCCCCGCTGTTTCACGTCTGCTTGCTCAAGTGAGGCTTCAGTTTTTCACAAAAAAATTTGCACTTATGAGACAGTTTGCACTTTGTGTTTAATATGACAAGAAAAAATAAAATACATGAGTTGTTGAACCACTTTCATTATTGTAAAAAATTATTGAATCGAAATTAATCGATTTAGAACTGTATTCATCAAAATCAAATCGATTCAGGTCTTTGGCCAAAATACCCAGCCCTAGTGGTGATTTAAATGAATATATGTGTGCATTCACCCACATTGGTTATTTTGTAGGATCACCAATGACTGTAGGTGTTCTTGCAGCTGTAAATTCTTAAGAGAATATCAGTCAACTTTGCATCAGTTTAAAAGCTGATATTGTTTGCAATTCTATTTTGAAAAATTGCTTAAGTTCAATAGTAGCACATGTGTTTTACCACAGAATGTTATTTAGATATGATTCTCCTTGAATACTGGCCAATTCTACCACATACTAAATATGCTTTGATCTAAACCGTTCTATTGTACCTCTGGCTGTGTGTTTTAGGTTTATGTCGTACTGGAAGATAAACCTCTGCCTTGTCGTTTGTCTGATTCTGTGGTGTGTTATGCTTACCAGCTTCCCTGTTCCTGCCTTGGAATAGAGCCCAACAGCACATTGTTGCCACAGTTTCAAGGTTATGTGCACTAGTAGTTTTCTACCTCACAAAGCATTATACAAATTGGCAAATAGGTTCAGTGTTGTTCTTGCCAGAATATCTTTTTCAACATGTTTGCTGAGTCTTCTTCATGGCCTATTACACACTGCTGATTGGATATTTTCAGGTTTCCTTTAACAATGACTTTCTTCTCACCAGTCTTGAATAAAGATTTTGAAGAGTGGGTGTTGAGTGCATGACTAAAAACTAACAAACTGAGATGGTGCCAGCAGGGTGCCGGCATATAGCTTATTATATGACTGGCACAAAGAAGTGGGGGCACATAATAACTCCTGCAGAACTGGCTTCCAGCCAGCTACAGGATTCATTATGAGATTCTGAATATTAAAACAGACCAGATATTAGAACAGTCCAGTCTATCTGCATCTTGAAATCTTTGTTAAAAACCCATGTGTTTGCTCTGGCTTTTACCTCAAGCTGAGAAGATAATTTTATTTATTTCATCATTGCATTAGGGTAGACCAGAATCCTGCACGGGTCGGATTTTTCAAAAGTGTATCCACCCGCGCCTTTTGTTATCATACCCGCTGGGTACCTGAGCCGATTCAGGACTCTGGGGTAGACCTATATTATTATTTTTTTCAGTATTTAAAGTTTTTTATAATTGTAATACTCTAATTTTAATGGTGTGTATTTTTTAATTTATTCCCATTTTTTATTGTGTACCGCACATAGTTTCTGTATTCAATTCGATAAATAAATAAAGTTGATACTGACATTATCCACAGATTTGCTCACCTGAAGTGTAGAGTGCATCAAGCCTGAATTACCACAATTTTTTGGCTGCTTACTAATACTTTCCTTGGCATATCTTCCACTTTAAGTGAAGGGTGTGTTTAGGTCCAAAGATGGGATAAATTGTGCTCCTGAGGTGTTCTAAACCCTTAGGATATTGTTTTTCAACCTTAATTTAATTTCTGATTGTCACCCTGTGTGTTTCTAACAAACCATGTGCTGTAGAATCCAAATATTAAATTGCTCAATGTTAGATACCATTTGTTAGATACCATTTGAAAGTCAAACATTTAAGCTATGGAGAAACAGTCAGGAGGAGACTTAAAGGAATAACACTGCTTGAATAAGACCTGTCTGCCCTGTCCGAATGGATGTCAAATAGGCTGGTGCTGATGCATGCTTCCTCAAATGTGAGCTGACAGCTTGTTATGTTTCAGTTTGATACAATCACAAACGCAGCTCTTACCTCGATGTGATTTGGTCTGTCCCATTGTGACATGTGGCAAGACTAAAGAATGAACCACAAGACCATTATAAGTCTTCTTATACCCCTTATGAGGTAAGGAAGAGATTGGGGAAATAAGTTAAATACAGTTATTTGACTTGACTGTATTTAAAGTATTTTTCAGTAAGCAGTCAAGTGCATTGACCTAATCTCAGTATGAATTCCATTTGTCAAAAAGACAACATGAAGAACAAGAAAGACACCTCACAAACAAAAAAGTGGAAGCTAAAAGTAGGATTGGGTTATGAAGCAATATTGCAAGTTACAAACATCTCACAAAGCACTGTTTAATCCATCAACCTAGACGCTAATGGTTGGAAATTAAAAAATATCTAATCATTTAAATCTTTTAAAATAGAAGATGCTGATTGCTCCTGTCAAGTAAAGAGCATGACCAACTGGCTTGCGGCATCATCGCTCAATGTCATAATCACCAATGACACAGGGGATGGACCACTGCACAGACCACACTTGCTAATTTTGACGTGCAGATGCCGTCTTTTTTCAGCGCAGTTGCTGCCAAACCCACATTCTCAGTGTGTTACTACAGCATTGATGACATTCTGTGGAGAAATACAGAGTGCGAAAATTGCCTTTCAACAGCCCAGAGCCGTCAATCAGTGAAAACATGTTGGACATTATAAAGTAATAAACACACAGTTGCTAATATCTCTAACCCCATAGCTGAGGATAATGTGAGACATTCTGCAAAACATTTTTGAGTGAATAGATTGATAGACGAAACATTTAATGTAATATATTTAATATGGCAGTAATATATAAATATACTGTTGCAGCCAAGAAATGAGAGAAAGATGTGAAGAAAAAAGATTTTTTTCACACCTATATATATATATATATATATATATATATATATATATATATATATATATATATATATATATATATATATATATATATATATATATATATATATATATATATGTATATATTAGTTTGGTGTCAAGAAGACTTCAAATAGCACATATTTTTTGTTGCAGATAAAGTTTCTTATTACTTTAAACTTTAAAAATACTTTACTTAAATTAACCCTGAATGTAAGCAGATTGCATGTTTATTCTAAATATATATTTTTGGATTATTTACAGTAGGAACAGAATATGAGCATTTCTTGGCATATGGAACTTGAAGTCTGCTGTGCTCTGCAGTAAATGGACTCAGAGAGCATACTGCCAGTGCCAGGATTGCAGTTTCCTCCCCACTGTCCTGGACTGTAGTGAGCCACCACCCACTATTACAACAGTGGCAATGTCACCCGCATTTTTGAAATTATTTAAAACAGAGTGTAAAATTGAATCAAACAATGACAACAATGTCAATAAAAATTTTAGAAGCTTTATCATGTTAGATATTGTGTGTTTTAACACAATTTCTAGGAAACTCTGCAACAATAGAACAGTACATACTGTAGCATACCCCGTGTGACATTTCACAATGATGGGGTGTTATAAATCTCTCTTTTACAGTATTTAAGTCTTAAGGACTTACTGGCATTTTGGTTCTGGTCAATCATTACTGTATGGATTTCCCTCTATGTTTTTGAATGTCAAATGTTTAGATTTCTGGCAGAGGCCATCAGATTTGTTTTTAAGATCTTCTATGTCAAAAATATCTGTTCTGCCACCGTTCTAACATGTTTTCCAGGTTTTTCGGAAAAGAAACTGTCCCACAGCATCAGAGATTGATCAGAGGTGCCCAATAATGAAGTTCTCTTCCTTTATTCAGGTAATAAAGGCAAGCCTCTTTCTCAATCTCATCTACCATTAAAAAGGAAAAAAGCTAAGTATAGCTCCACACAACGTGTCTGTCCACGCTTCTCTCAGATACAGGTGTTAGATGTAAGGAAAGCTTCTGACGCTGGATAACAAGCATCTGACTTCTGATTTTTGAGGCACAAAATTAGTTTGGTCTGAATACAGTGTTAGTTTTGAAGAATGTATGTATA